AAGAGCTGAAATAGTACTGAACATGAATTTTAACTCAGATTAGCCATTTGAATTCAACTCGGGGATCATTTGTATATTTGCTACTGACTTACTGAATTTCCTTGTCCTCTCTGTTATCTTAACTTAAGGTAACTAATTCCGTTCAGACTTAAGAACATTTTTTACCTGTCAGCATAGAATATAGGTTAAACTCCCTAAGATGCAGTTAGTTAATTGAAAAGTATGATGAAGACACGTCCACTGTGGGCTTACTCTGTTGAAGCTGATGCCAGTGCTGTGACCGATTTGCAACAGCAGATTAAAGCTGGATGGATGGAGCTGTTATCATCACCCTCTCTCATTTGCTCTGTCCTCTTAAATGATGATGCTATCTCCATAGCAGGGCCTCTGATCCACAGGGAATCAGGTCCTGAACTGGCACGGATTTTGGTCCAGAATAGCAAAGCAAACTGAACTCTCAGGAGGAGTCATCACTAGGGTTATCTCATATAAATTTGCCACCATAACTCTGTCAGAGACCAAAGTAACAAGGTGTACTATCCCCCTGGAAAAAGTATAAAATCATACTATAAAACTTTTCCTTAAAGAGGAGAAAAGGCTACCATTTGCTGACAGTAGAGTTTTTGAAACATAAATTGACATGGCTCTGCTGTTACCTAACCTGAAATGACCTATCTGAGGACTAAATGTGTTCTTGTACAAACACAATCTCTGTGTGATATGGAGGACCCTGTAATTTCCTTTTCTGTAATAAAGCAAGGAAAAAATGAGATGCATCAAACATCCTACAAAATGCTTTCAGGTCAGCGTGTTGTCTGAGCTTGTGCAGACCTATAGAGTGCTTGTGATCAGAGCTAAATGGGACCCAAATTTCTGAAATGAGGGCAAGTAAAACAAGCATGGCTGTGTTTTCTGGCTTTCTGGCTTTCTTTAGTATGGCAGCTTGAACATTATTCCACAGTAAGGCCAGGCCTGACTTGTCAGTACAAGTGGCAAACAGTGTGAAGGAGAACCATGATGTTCAATATTTAGAGATTATAACCCAGGACACAGTTAGGGGGAATGAAACTTGTAGGAAGAAAATTGCTATTGGGAAACTGTTAGTGGTACACAAACACTGAAGACCAAGCCTGAGGGGAAACACCAGCCATAGCACTTGAGGTTGCCAGTCACACTAATATGACACATCGTTACCAGCCACTTGCAATGGTTAACCAAAATCCATTTTCTCATCCCAAAATCCATTTTCTCATCAGTTATACTGGCTACTGTCTGCTGAGGGATGGAAAAATGAGCACATCGTGACACTGGCTTTGAAAATATCTCTTACAAAAGAATATAATCCATCGTTCTTACAAAGGAATAATCCATCCACAGCTATTGCTCGCTGATAGTTATCGCAGGCTAAAGCTTACAAGTCTTCTGTAGACACATGAAAGACACACTGACACACAAGTCATGGGAAGGTCACAAAAGATTGAACAGCATCCATCATTCAAACCAAGTAGAGAAACAAAGGGATTACTTGTTTTCCTTCTGTAAATGATAGACAGCAGCTAGTTCTTTGATCTGTACTCAAAAGGTGTATCTATAGCCTAAGTATTTTGCTTTTAATTCAGCAAAAATCTTTTAGTGTTTAAGTTCAGCTAAAATTACATTTGAGTGTGTGCTAAGGAGAACTGGGATTGTTGGACCTTTGAAGAGAGGTGAGACTGAATTTTTAATTCTCCTAAGTTTCCCTGTTTCTTTAGGGTGTATTCAAGTGAACCATGTTTGTAGTGACCTGGTCTGGATGTTCCAAAAGAGCAGCTCTGTGCTAGAGGTTGCAGTGTTGGAATAGAGAAAGACCCTGGGTCAAATGCAGATGAAAAGAGGTACCAAACATCATGGGAGGCTTGGTAAGGAGCAGCAGAGTTTATATGATATGAGGACTGTGAAATACATTGTACTGTTCACATAACTCCTGTGTTCTCCCTAAGCTTTAAATGTCTCACAGTGGACCATGTTACTTCTGATTTTAGGTACCTTGAGGAAAGAGTCACAGTATGCTGGTGACATGCACTGTGGGGAATATCTTCCCTAGAGCTGCCCATAAATCTGAACCTGAGCTTCCCATATGTGGGAATCAGCAAATTTCTGCCTGAGAGGTTGCTTGAAAAAGCATACAAAGGAAAGCACTGTGATGAGGCTCAAATATGAGAGCAAAGATGACTTGGTTTTCATTTATTGCTTGTATTTTCCTTCTTGTAGTGGTGACATACAGTACCTGTTATTTGTGGCATCCTTTACATTACACTGAATCCCACCCTGCTTTTATTGTTAAGTTTTCGGTTCCGATTGCACTTGCTAAAGGAATCTAAGGAAGAATTTTCGGTCTCCAAAGCACAGATTGAAACCAGTGCTGTTTCACCAAGTTTAGCCAGAGTAGCCTATCTAAGGATACTGGCCTCACATCCCAAGATGTGGTTTGAGGGAAAGAATAAGTCAGATAGTATTTATGGCTCTAAATACCTCCGCAGTGCACACTGGTACTTACTGTTGGACAGCTATAGATCCTCTTTTTCAGATACTGGAAGAATGGGGATGATTGTAAACAGAAAACTGAGGGGCTTAGTGGGTGGGAAATCTATTTCAGAACATTAAAACAAGAACATAGCAGGGAATATACTGCAACAAATTGATGCCTGTCGAGTATCCTTGCATCTTTTTTCATGTTTTAGTGGTCAGTCAGCCTTGTCTAATTCTTGTCCCACCCATTGTTTTCTCTCTCCACTGCAGGGCCACCTCTGTTATGTCATTTTAAACTTGTTGCAATAAACAGTATACCTGCCTCTGTGTTGTGTCAGAAATAGAGCATTTTTGGAATTTTCTGCTTAATCTAGTATTTGTCAGAACATGTTGACTCGTCAGAAGTGAATCTGCAGGAATGTATCAGTTTTAGCAGTTTCTTGAGTGGAAGTGCTGGTTGAAAAGAGGCCGACGGACCACACGCCCACTCCTCCCAGTGCTGGGACCTTCACTTCACACTGGCCAGGCAGGAGAGGAACACAGTTGTTCTTGGGTTGAGTGTGCCTTTTGGGTGTTTCACACAAAGTTTGAAAGCTCTTGGTTTCATCCCAGCACAGAGCAGGAAAAATTCCATAATAGCAAGGTGTTACAGGGAATGAGAAAATTGTTTCCTGCCCCATACAATATAGAAGTCAGTACTCTGTGTACTGGGACTATTTTTGAGTTATAGCAATATACCTGCTCTTTTTTTTTCTTTTAAGTGTTAATCCATGCTAGATTTGTTTCCAGGATTCTGGTATCAGGAATTAGTACCAGAAAAATGTTACTGATTTAAAAGAAGATCTTTATTCTCAATACTAAAAGTGTGACTTGTTCTTACCAGCTAATTCTTGCAAATAGCCTGTGTTTCTGATTTTTATCCCCAACTATCAGTCATAATTCTTATCAAATAACAGTTAGGAAGACCTTTTTTTTCCCCAAAACCTATTATTTTGTGTAATTAAGGAGGTAAACCACAGAAAGAATTCAGTGGATGCTGAAATAAAATGTCACAAGAAATGCAGGAGAATTATTGATGGATTGTTTTACCCAAACTGGTGAAAACACTGAATTTATAAACAGCTGAAACAGCTCTGGTCTATAGTCATCTTTTCATTTTGCTTAAAGTCCTAATGAAATATAAAGTCCATACAGATTCCTATTATTAGTTTATAATTTTCAAGGTCATCTATTTTAAATTCTTTCAGTGGTCACAAGCATTTCTTGATTAGCAACAATTGCCTAACTATAGTCAAACTAGAAGGATTTTCCCAAAGTATGTGATCATATTGCTGTTAGAATGCATAATTGTTTTCTCCTTGAAGAAGCTAAATTTGGCTTAACAACTGTGTCATGACGTTAACAGAAAACGTCTGGTGTGACAGGGCATAATGTGGATACTGCGCTGAAACGCTCATAACCACAGTTCATTTAATTGATCTTTCGAGAGGGTGAAATATCACACTAGTCATCTGCCTTTGGTTCTTCAAGCCACATCAAACAATTGTATGGAGATGTAAAAAAAAAAAAAGAGAAGCGATAGGTTGTTTGATTTCATCAGTTAATGGCCGTAGGTCATTTGATAGCCCTTTGTTTACAACACAGTGATCGGCTGTATCTTGTAAAGGTTCACCAGAGTGACTTACTGCTGTGGTACAGGGCCTAAAATAAAGCTTGCACATGCCAGGCACCACATGATGCATAAAGTATTCTAATAATATATTACAAAGCCTTGTCAACACTAGTGAGAATGAGTATTCCAAGAAGTAGAGCTGGCTGAAAAAAAACATTCTTTTTTCCAAACTGGGCCTTTATGAAAGACAGTGATTTGGGCAGCTGGAGGGAGAGAGAGAGGAGTTTCTTCCTTTGGTCTGGTGGAGAGAAGTCTCTTTCTTGGTTAATCAAAAATGTCAATAGACATTTTAAATATCCATGTTATTTCGTGTCTTTTCTATTTCTTATATTTGAGCTTAGCTGTGCCAGCTTTCTCAGCTCAGCCCCTTGAGAACTTGACAAATGTCTTATATCCACACACTGAAGGACTCCAATTGCTTTGTGTGCTTTGTGACCTGAGCGTCTTGGGCAGTTTTGCTTTTAGCTATGTGTACACCATCCTGTTTTAAACTGTATCAGTCAGCTGATTTAATGCCCATGTGGAAGTAGTCATCTCTCTATTGCTGCTCTACAACATGCCAAATGGTCTCGAGAAATTCATCGTAAGAAAACCCTTCCGTGAATTGGTCTAAAAGCAGTGAAATGGGTACCCACGAAGAACAGTAATCATAGCAGTTTCTAGCACAACTCTTATGACACTAAGCAAAATTATGACCACTTCTTAAACTGAAATACATCAGCTACTATATGCAGCCTAGAAATGGATTTCTGTTGATTAATAAACTGATGTTTTAGTATATGAAATATAAACACTATTTCCTTTAAATATATTTTGACAGATTAAAGCTCTGACAATGAAGCCCTTTACTGCATATCCTTCTGGGTTTATCGTATTCCTGTTTACCTTGCTGCAGAGGAGCCACGGACAATGCAAAGAAGCAGCTAAAAAATCAGAGATGAATTTCAGTGTAAAATATGATCTTCCTAACTTCATCGCAGAAACACCAATTCAGAATGTAGTTTTATACAAGCATCATGTTTATGTTGGAGCAGTCAACAAGATTTATGTACTAAATGAAACTCTCCAGAACATTTCTGTGTACAAGACTGGACCTGTTTTGGAGAACCCTGACTGTGTGCCATGTGAAGACTGCAGAGATAAAGCCAATTTATCTAACAGTGTATGGAAGGATAATGTCAACATGGCACTGCTCTTAGAAACTTATTATGATGATCAGCTCATCAGCTGTGGTAGCGTGTCCGGAGGCATCTGCCACCGTCACATCATTCACCCTGACAACCCTGCTGACATTGAAAGCGAGGTGCACTGCATGTACTCACCTCGGGTAGATGGAGAAGCAGATAATTGTCCTGACTGTGTTGTAAGCCCTTTAGGAACCAAAGTTTTGGTGACCGAAAAGGACAGGTTTGTCAACTTCTTTGTTGGAAATACTGTGACATCTACATTTCAACCTCCCTATGTGCTGCATTCTATATCAGTTAGAAGGTTAAAAGAAACACAGGATGGTTTTGAATTTCTCACAGATCAGTCTTATATAGATATCCTTCCTCAGTTTCGTGACTCGTATCCCATTAGGTACGTCCATGCCTTTGAAAATGATCACTTTGTGTATTTTCTGACTGTACAGAGAGAAACTCTTGACTCACAAGCTTTTCACACTAGAATTATCCGCTTCTGCACTTTAGACTCAGAGATGCGTTCTTACATGGAAATGCCTCTTGAGTGCATTTTTACTGAAAAGCGAAGAAAGAGGTCCATCCGAAAGGAGGTATTCAACATTTTGCAAGCTGCCTATGTAAGCAAGCCTGGTGCAGCTTTAGCCCATGAAATGGGCCTTGGGTTGAACGATGATATTCTCTATGGTGTTTTTGCACAAAGCAAACCAGACTCTTCTGAACCAACTAAGAGATCTGCTGTCTGCGCTGTCTCTGTGCGAACCATCAATGAGTTCTTCAACAAGATTGTTGACAAGCAGAACATGAAATGTCTCCATCACTTTTACGGGAAGGAGAGCAAATACTGCTTGAACAGGGTAAGTGATAATTGATTTGCTGTATTTTGGAACTTTTGTTCTCTCTTGGCCTACTCTGTTGCCAGGTATCCGTCCTTTCAGTTTCAGTTACAAAATCTAAGTTCCTGATTATTTCAGGTTACTTAGCATTGCTGATGATTCATCTCTATAAGGATTAGTTCCTGCAAATTGAGTATGAAAATCACTGAGGTCTTTATGGTGCAAAAAATGTAGTAGTGGGACTGGGGGGAAAATCTTTTTTTTTTTTAGTTTGTAAGGTTTTTTCCTTGGGAAACTGTGATGCAGATAAATGGAACATTTAGGTGGTTATTTCTTTTCATATTTCAAAAAGATGTTCATAAACATTCATATCCATGTGCGCTGAGGAGTCCCTGAGAACATCACTCATATTTTAAACTATGTTAATGCTGAATCACTGCCCTCCTCAGAAGAAAATGAAAGAGATCGTTTGAAACATGCTACGAAGAGCTAGACTGTAATATGGTTACTCATACTTGGTACAGAAATGGTCCAATTGACATCAGTTTTCTTCATGAAAGAGGTGTCTATGAGAAGTGTATCTGAACGAGGGTACAGGTGGTCTCGGGTGGGAGGGTTGCCTTTCTGTACACTGAGTTCAAGCGATTGCTCCTCTCCATACATCTGAAATACTGTGAGCAGAGGAAACATAGAAATTATCCCTTTCCCTTCTGGCCAGTGTTTGTGCTGGTTTCAGCTCTTGTAAAAGGAATACCTAATCTGGGAATCAGGTACTTTTAACAATTACTTTGGGGCATGAAACATTAGAACTTTAAATCACCTGCTTATGCAGCAGGCCCCTAAATATCCTCTGTGGGGAACTTTTTTTTCTCAAATACAAGAAATTTGGAGCTCAGAGGTGGCACGCTGTCCTCTAACAGAGGGCAGGGCCAGAGTCTCTGTGGTGGGGCTCTGCTCAGCCAAGATGAGGCCTGTGTTAGGACAGAACAATGGCTCCACCTGCATTTGGAGATGGATGGGATCTGTCATGTCCCATTGTTGGGATAGCTCAGAGTGAGGGTGGAAACCACAGGCCTTCTTAATCCCAAGTACCACCAGAGTCCTCCTCAGCACAGCTGCCCAGCACAGGGCAACCAGACACATGCCCTGGTTGGAGATGGGAGTCTCTTTCATCAAAGAGAAGGGCTGCTTCTCACTGCCAGGAGTGAGGCAGGGCCGTCTGGGGAGAAGCACCTGTTACAGAGATGCTGTGGCTTCTCACCAGTAGCAGGAATGTACTCAGAGGAGGGGTCTGACCCAGACTGAGCATAACCACAACAACCTTGGCATTTGGGAGACATCTGCTTATGGCAAACTCCAGGCATTCAACACAGATGTAGGCATTGCCAGCGGATGCTGATACAGCAACTCCAACAGACATAGCATTTAATTACCTTTATTTGGGGGAGAACAGGCAATTTCCAGGAACTAAAAACAAGTTAGCAAGCATTCAGCATGGTAACTTCTTATCTTTCTTCACTGTGTTATTGCTGTCCTAATTTTTCATTTCAGGTATTAATATCCCTTTTTCTTTCATATTTCAGTTCATTTATAACAAGGAGCGTTGTTCTTCTCTGAAAGTACTTTTTTCTATATTCACGGGGTATATGATTTGTGAGTGACTGTCTTTAAAGCTCATGGCCTTTAGCTTATCTCATTCTGTACTTGCCTATACATCCATTTCATAAGGTGATCTTTTCATGGAGAAGTATACCATTAAAATATTGACAGAATAATTCACCACTTTTCACATGCTGGGAAGTACTTTAGTGTTTCAAAAGCTGTTCCAGAGTCTGCTGCTGCTTTGCATATCAAAACTGAATGTATTATACTGCTGACATGTTTATTATAGTTGCCCGTTTTCAAGAAATGTCATCAGAGCTCTGATTTCTGCTACGTTAAATTGATAAAGGGAGAAAATGTTTCTGTAATTTCTTGTGGTTCTTTTAAATGGCATAAAGGCAGTCAGAAATTTTTATCCTGATTATTTACTTAACACAGAAATATCAAGACTGTCAAGCTTTGCCATTCCATTTCCTTTCATTTATTCCAGAGGACTCATTAAGGATCCAATAAAAAGTATCCTGTGAGGTTTTTTGGGTTTCAGCTGACCAAAAAGATTGGCAAGAATTTGCCAAGCATCCTTTATACTCCTGTTTTTCTCTAGTGTGTAAAGTAGACATGCAGGGTTGGAATGTGAAGGAAGGGAAAGAGCAGGCAGAAGGAAAGCACATAATGTCTTATGCTTTGTCTCAGGAATGTCAAATCTGATCTTCCATGGTCTTGCTGAAGATTAAATAATAATTAAAAAAAGTCTCAAACCCCTCAACTCTTCTTAGGCCCTTCTTTGTACATTGAGGAAACGTAGATGAGGGCATAAACCATTTTTCTCCTTTTTGTAAGTCACCTTCAACTTAAAGAAAGCTTTTATTATCTGTGAGTTTGTCACAGTTTATTTTGGCAAAATTCAAAACTTGCTTTTTGTAATGTAGCCAAGATGACCTTTCTCTTTGATGTTGAAAGAATAACCACAGACCATTGATGCAAGTGAAAGGCACTGACCACTGTGAGATTAAGTCATAGGACAGTGAAAATAGTCCAGCAGTGAATATAGTATACCACTAACTTCAACATTAAAAAGAAAAATGAGCCTTTAGCACCATTTGCAAGAAAGTGCTCTCTGATAATTTACAGTTAGAGTCTGATTGATGAAGGCCATTTCATGTTATCAAAAAAAGTCCCACAAGACAACTGTACATAATTTTGTTGTACTTTGGGTAGTCCATCTTTTTAAGTGGCTGTCCCTCAGGACTGTTTAATCTGAGGCTTCTAAAGGTAGAATTAGACCAAGATAAACCTAAATAGTATATCCAAAACACTTCCTCGACTCATTTTTCTTATATTTAATGCAAAACACCCCCCCCAAAAAAACCCCAACTCATCTTGATGTGGTTGATAAATTGGATAGGTTTTAGCTTTGTTTTCTAAAGGAATTAAGTTTCTGTTGTTGTGCTACTGTAGGCCTGTCTTTCTTTTAATTATCCTAACAGCCTCAGCAATAAGAAATCCTAAAGATGTGAGTTCAAGTGTGAATCCAGAGACAGATCCAATATATGCTCAGGCTGTGGAAACTGGTGAAGTTTAAGGAGCCCCTTTATAAACATCAGAAGGACTCACGGGGATTAAGGAAGGTATTGCTCACCCATGGGAAAAGTCTCCATCAGAGCTTAGTTGGACAGCAAAGTCAACCAACCACAAGATAAAAATCTAGGCACAACTGTACTTCACTTACTCTAGTGCTCAGGAAAACTTCATAAAATGAAAATAAAACGTTTCCAGTTGTATTTTAAGTGTAATACATATGAAGCAAAAACCTGGGCTCACTGAACTCTGTTAGGGAAAGTGAATCTTATGAAGCATCTGACTGATGTCAGATGTACTTCAGCAGAGCTGTGACCAGTTAGTACTGCCTAATAATTTCCTTCAGTGAAGAGCTGTCTGACACTTAAATGACAGCGAGGTGGAAACAGAATTGGCTTTGAATTAAAAGAAAAACTGGGAGTTATAGTAAAGTAGTTTTAGTGCTTGAGTCAGGACAAGGAGATCTGAGAGGTAGCTGCTGTGGAGGGTTTTGAATCACTGTTCAGGAATCTCCTCACCCACAACAAGGAGAAAACGGGATGTAGTCTTTAGGCAGAATTACTTTGGTCACAGTTAGTCACTATCAGCCCCAGTGTGGTACTCCTCAGAGCAGAGGTGTGTTTAGATGAGGAGACAAGTGCTGCTTACTTCATTTGCAGACACACTCCAGTAGTGTGCACCTTTGTCATGGATTAAATGTGATTTTTCAAGAGAGGAAGATGGGTTGATTTTAGCCTTGACAATCTCAACTATGTGAAAGGAAAACAGAAGATCACCAAAACAAAAGATAAAGTGACAGTAAAATAAACACATGGTGATGCTTCTTTATTACCATTACACACATGATAGATGAGTAAAACTAGGTTATGCTTATATTGTAATGGAAGAAAATAATTGCTGCCTTCAATCAGGAAACCGCAAAGGCACTTATTGATCTGTCATTCTAAGGTTGTGTCTAGGAATATTTAATAAAATAAACAGAGACAAATAACTCTTTTGAGGCCCTGTAACTGTAATATCCTACACCATTTGGCTTAAAATTTTTGGCAGGTTTAAAAATAGCATCACATCTCTGATTAGAAAGGCTTGATGTGGTTTATTTAGATAATCTCACAGCACGGAGATGTTTTTTTGAGTAGAATGTCACTGAATATTTTCCCTAAAAGTCAGGCACCAGAATCCTTCTGATTGGTTCAGTCATTTATTCGTCTGGAAATGCTGTATCAGATGGCATACAGCACTCTGCCTGGGCACAAAATCTGTTGCCATCCATACACAAGCTCTTCTAAGGGGTTGTGACATCTCAGAAGAATAAATGAAGAGGGACTGAATGATGGGCAGTGTGAACTGACACCCTATAAAACATGCTTAAACCCTGATAATAAGGTGATAAGCTGCATCTGCATTCCTGTTGTGCCCTTGCTGTCTGTCTGCCAAAAGTCCTGGCAGTACCCTGAGGGTCTCCACTGTGCCTGTACCAGTGGAGTGCAAGGCAGTGTGTGCTCACCAGCCAGCTCCCCTCCACTCTTGGGTACATGGCCACCTACCCACCTGGCCGTGGAAGACCTGACTGGGGCAAGTAGCATCTCATAAGTGATTGCAGGAAGAGTCTGGACTCCAGTTGCGCTACATGTGAGACAGGCATAGGTAGAGGTACAGGTATGAGTGTGTAGGGGGTATGGTGAGAGCATGGGTTTGGGTAAAGTTATCTCAGGCTGGACCAGATTCAGTAAACACTGAACTACAGAGGTAAGGGCTGTTCTGTCTCTAGGACTGGCCACAAGGTTATCATCACACGAGAGTTCTTGAGAAAAAGACAAGGCAAGGAAAAAGGCAGGGAG